TTCTACATTAGTGTTGAATTGGGTTCACAATTTTTCTGCTCGGCCATGGAGGTGGGGATCTACTTTTCAAGATATTAAACATTGTTAGCACTGGAATAGCTTCATTGGGTAGATGTTGAGAGGCAAGCAGGTATATGGGGTTTCTTAATCCAGCTAGTCGAAGCAAGGTCATGTTCAAGATTCTACAATTTGTAAATTGTCATAGCATGGGTAGTTTGGTATTTGGATTGTATCTTACTTCTTGATTTTGTGAATTTATGTTCTCTGGAAGGCTTCTCAACTGTGGAGTACTCTTTTCCCCCATTTAGGATTAGGGGATTTTTAATGAGACTCTTAGTCGGGGACATGTTTTCCATCTGAGTGAAATAAAAAATACAAGTTGCTGAGAAAAAAAAGTTAGGGCGCATTCTAATGCATATAATGATGGATAAATATTTTATGCATGCATAACTCACGTATTATGCAGTCAGCATTCAATAAGAAGCAGAATTGAAATGATTATTACCCAAATTAAAGTGGAATATCAAATTATGCTAACGGATTGTCTTTCAATAACAGAAACACACACTTGAGTTCTTGGCAGATATATCAACCGAGAAACCCTAAGTAATCGAAGATCTTCTCTTTATTCATCTGAAGCTGCAGGGTTAGAGATTCCTAGAAATTGAGTTCCATCAGGCAAAATTCCAATAAATAACTGACTGTCAAACTGATAAAGTTAGGGTAAACCCGACCAGATGTATATATATCAAATACTCAAAAGCCGTTGTCTTCATCATCCCAAGCTTTAAGCTGATTAAGAATGTGAGCGTCGATCTCAGACATCACTTCTTTCGCCTGCTGATTGCTTGCCCTGATTTCAACAAACATCGAAGAAAACTCGTCCAGTAGCTTTGCAATCTGGGTGACTAAAATCTTGTGATCCTTTTTCTTATCCTTTCTCTTGTTATGCTTTGGCTTTTCTTTGCCAATCTAAACACAAGTTCCAAATAAACAGTAACAATAAAGAAGAAGAAAAGCATATATTAAAATATTGAAAAATAAGAAGAATTTTTGAGGTTACGGAAACTACCTCAAACTTGTGTTTCCTTGACCTAAGGTGTTTCTTTTGGGAAGCCCTGCCTAGGGTTTGGTTTGTTGCACCCAGGAAATGGTTCATTTTCTTCCCCATCAGTGCATTTTAAAATAATAATTAAAAGAGTAGTGCTATTTTCTTTGAGGATTCCAAAGTATCCTATAAAATGCTTATTGTTTGCTTCAATGACGTTTTTCAGATTATGAAAGAAAGAAAAATAAAGGAGAACCAGAAACTCGAAATTGATATGCAGCAATCCGATAAACTCAGAGATAAACTGAGAATTTCAGTAGTTCATAAACAAAACTAACCTTGAAACCTTTTTTTCGATGATTAGAAATCTGCAACACCAAGCTGGCTCGGGAGTGAGGAGAAAGTGAACAACTTCTGAACCCTATGGCTCTCCAAGCAATTCACTTTATTATTTGTAATGCTTTTTTTTTATTAAATCATTTATGTTTTATCCTACTGTATTTATGTTGTATTCGGATTTTGTGTTTAAATTAATTTTTTTGTTATTAATCTCAATTCATTTAATCTCACGTAATTTATTATAATTGTTTAATTTTAATATAACATTCAATAGTACAAATTAAGTGATTTCAGTGGTTAAAGGAATTATTATTATTCTTAGAGATTTCAAATTCGAACACGACTGATTGTGAAATATTTGAGTATTCATTATCAAATAGTTGAGAGTATTTATAACAGATACTACCACTTGTAATCATCCTAGATTAGTAAAAAAAATATAACTTTTAATATGTTTATTAAATTGTTATTATTATAAGACTAAAAACAATATATTTAGAGTGTTAATTTAAAATTAATTTTATCGAATTGAACAAATTAATAATATTATTTATAAACCGAACATGTTTTTCAATCCTCCCTGTATAGTAAAATCATGCCCTTTGTAAAAAAAAATGTAGAGTCGTTTAGTTACATTTTGTTATTGCAAAAGTATTTTAAAGTTCAGGTCTTATTACAAGAAAATGGATACGCTTAATAGGTAAGGAATCGGTCAACTGCGGTCGTCAAACATAACGAATCTTCAATGTTATCGCGCGATCAACTCGTCGACAAGTTCTCATTAGAAAATAATTGAGGTCAAATATATAATTGGCGTGAAAAATAAGTTATAACCGCGAATTATTATTATTTCTTGAGGTTCGGATTTAATTTTTAAAAATATTAAATGAATGAGTATTTAATATCAAATGGTTAAAAATTATCATTCAACAAAAATTGTCTTATACTTACTCAGGTTAATATAAAAATCTTATTATTTATAAGGATAAATAACCAAAACGAAACATTAGGTACAATTTTTTTTAAATAACTAGATGGCCAAAATGAAATTATAAAATAATTGAGTCATGAAATATTTTTACCTATTATAATCAGATTAATATAACTAATTCATAATTGGGTTAGTGGCGGAGACCCTTTTATTTGGGTGTCATCTGACTTTTATTATTTATTTTTTAAATTTCTATAAAAATATTAAAAAGGAAATTATCAATTTAAAAAATATTGATATTATTTAAAATAAATTAAAAGTTATAATTTATTTATCAATTTAAATAAACCTTTTTAGTTTCTAATAACATAATTTAAACTTTTAACTAATATAACTAATTGATATCTATAATCGTTTGTATTCAAAATGTTACTTATATTATTATTTTTTCTTAACTGGCACTTCAATTCATCTTTCGTGATATATTTTTGTATTTCTTTTATCACTTTAAAATTGAAAAATATATTAATTTAATTAATAATCTAATAATCATATGTGATATATATTATGCCATCATCTAAATATATTCTTATATGTTTGAAATTAAAAAAAACTAATTTAAAACTAAGTGTTTGTGAATATATTCTTTTATCAATGGTGTTTGTCAATGGAGCAAACTAGGTTGGGAGTATCGTTCTCGCCTCTATAGTATTCGATTTGGATTAGTCGATAAATAGATCAGATATCATTGATTAATTTAAACAAAAGGCAATAAAATGTATACATATCATAAATGATAAAAGATATTTAAAAAATTAGAATATTTTTTTTACATTCTAAATCTGATGTTAATGTTATCAAGAGTGAAAGTAAAAAATGATTCTAGTAGAAGGAAGAAAAATTTTCATAATGAATTTAAAATTTATGATCAAAGAAATATAAAAAACGAAAATGAACAACTTTATCAATTGACCACGGGCGATTGTTGAATTTTAAAACATTTAAAATATCTTACAAATGTAGGTGGTGATTTATGCAAAAGTGGTGTTATAAATATTGTCCTATGATTCCCATAACTCTTATATGTAACTAGATCCAACATTAAATCATATATAAAAGGCTTAATTATAAAATAAATGTTTAACTTATACCGGTTTTTTATGAATTGGTGTCTAAATTATTTTTTTGATATGATGACTGCTGAATTTCATCGATAAAGAACACACGTCACTTTTATGAAATTTTAAAAAATTTATTTAATTTTATTTAAATGAAAAAAAACTTAAAAAATATTATTATATTTATATAAAACTATAATTTTTCTAAGATTACAAAAAATCCCAAAATTCGAAAAAACACTTGGGGGTTGTTTGTTTACTTCAGAATGATTAAGCGCTGAATGATTTAGAGGCTCTGGATGAATTAGCTCTGAATGTGACATGTTGTTTGTTTACTAGCTCTGAATCATTCAGAATGTACTTCTGTGCTGAATCATTTAGCACTGTTTTGCTGAATCAGTCAGCACTGAATCATTCAGAAGTGCGAAACAAACGCGCTGAATGTTGAACGGTTCAACATTCAGCGTTGAATGGTTCCATTAAGAGGCAAACAAACAGCCCCTTAGTCTAGTTCACTTTACTCTAATTGTCGGTCATCTCTAGCCATCCAACTGTCGGAGACCAACCACCCATACGTCGTCGACTACTCACTAACTGCTCATAACACTTGCTATCATCTCAAATCCCTACACATCAATCTCTAATCCCTAAAATCTAAAATACCTAATCTCTTAATTTCCTTTGGTCGATCGTGATAATCAGTCGTTTAGGTGATTGTGGAAGTCAACCATTTGACCATTTGGTCGGTCGTTTAATAGATCATTTGGCCATGGAAAAGTAGGGAGCGAGGGGTGCAGGTTGGGGAAGGATTTTTTTAAATTTTTAATAATATTTTTAATTTTTAAAATAAAAAATTTAAAATTCTAAAATATGACACATGTCACTTAACATGATTTTTAAATGGTCGTTACATCTTGGGCACCTAAAATCATAGTGTTTGTAACCTTAGACACTTGAATTATTCAAAAAAATTATTTAGGCACTAATTCGTGAAAAACGATGTAATTTGAGCATTTATTTTATAATAAAGCCCAAAATGGTAATGTATTTAATCCTTGACAAAAGTGTTTTTATTGGAGATAAAATGACTAATTTTGTCAAAAACATTATTTTTATTGTTTTGTTAAGAAAACACTTTAAATACAATTAAGAAAAAATAAATATAAAAAATTGTATATGTATATGATATGGAGTTTAATTTTGAATAAAAAAATAAAAAATAAAATATGGTTTTATCGTTAAATTGAGTTTAGAAAATACTCAAAATTAAAGAATATTTGATAAATTAAAAATAAGAATTAAAAAGGAAAATATAATTATAACTAACTCAAAATTAAATGAATTAATTAGAGAATTAAAAAGAAAATGGTTAAAAATTAAAAAAATTATGAAATTAAAAATTTTTGAGACCCCTGTTATAAATATAATAATTAAAGGGTTCTAATTATAAATATAAAAATCGAGGGACCTGAGCTACTGCTCGCAGTGCTCCCCTTAGAGCCGCCCTGACCCCACACGAAACAAAGACAACATCGCCGGAGACTTCAATAACAATAGATGGTTCATGGCCGGAGACTTCAATGCTATACGAAACAACAGTGAGAGAAGTGGAGTTTCTTTTAGACAAATTGAGATTGCAGTTTTCAATATGTTCATAGAAGAGTGTACCATTAGCAGGGAGGAAATTCACTTGGTTTGGGTCGGGAAATAGAAAAAGTCGCTTAGACAGAATTCTAGTTGAGGATGAATGGTTTCAGGAAAATAGTGATACATCACTATGGGGATTACCGAGAACAATCTAAGATCATATACCTATATTGTTGGGAAAGAAGATCATAGATTGGGGTCCAACACTGTTTAAGTTGATTAACAGTTGGCTTCAACAGGAAAGTTGCACTGAGATTATAAAGAAGACTTTACAGCTTGATCAGACAGATGATGAAGAGTTAAGTGTAAAACTAAGAAGAGTGAAAGGAGCATTACAAAAATGGAACAAGGAATGTTATTGGAACGTTGATATTGAAGCAAAAAAAATAGAGCAGAGGATAAATGAGCTAGACAGAAAAGCTGAATTAAATGGACTAGATGATCGAGAAAGGGAAGAGGTAGCAAGCTGCACAAGGAAGTTATGGGATTTATTGAGAGAAAAGGAGGATATATGGCGTCAAAAATCAAGATTGAAATGGCTGAAACTCGGAGATGAAAATTCTGCTTTTTTTCATAGAGCAGTTAAGATTCGGAGTAAAAAAATGATTTTAGGGGTTAATTTGGGGGAGGACAACGAGGTTGATCCATCAAGGCTGAGAGCAAAAGTATTCAATTTTTTCAGCAACCATTTTAGATGCAAGAAGGAAGAGTGTCATACGGAGCTTAATCTTCCTTTCAAGCAAGTATCATCGGTGGATGTTGAAGTGATGGAATCACCATTTTCTATAAACATATTAAATACTTTTTTATAAACATTTTTTTGAATTGTTAAAAATTTACAATAATGATATACAAAAGGTTTACCATCTTTTATTTTTCACATCAGCTAGTGATTCCTTGCAAACTAATCAAATTGATCCGTGGGTGCACACATCCCAAAATCTGAATAGCTTCTAATTATATTTTTTACTGTTAAATTAATGATTAAAAGATGTATTAAATTGAATACATCGAGTGATCTTAGTAAAAAAAAATAGACTACTATTCTACTTAGAGTTTATGTGTTAGAGTAACTGTGTCTACAGTATATTTGTGCATTATCTTAAATTAAGATATTTCGGAACATATATTATCTTTTAATCACCCTAGAATATTTAAAAAAAAAATTAACTAAATTCATAATGGTTCAATTGAAGTTCAAAATTTTCAATAAATAAAATTCATATAATAAAAATGTAACAATTTACATCAAAACATGTCAAACATTAGTTAAATTTAATTTTTAAGACATTAGGAATGAATTTTGTCACTTTTCCTAAATTTCAAAATTATGATCATTTAGTCTACTGTCGTGGGATGTATTTATATGAAAATGAAGCTCAGGTGTACTTGAATTTACAAATTCAGATAAAAACTATGGTGGCTGAAAACACATGTTTCCAAGGCCACGTCTGATCACTCTTACCCTACAAGTAATAAAACTAAAGTAGTTAAGGCGCATTCTAATGCATATAATGATGGATAAATATTTTATGCATGCATCACTCACGTATTATGCAGTCAGCATTCAACAAGAAGCAGAATTGAAATGATTATTACCCAAATTAAAGTGGAATATCAAATTATGTAAACGGATTGTCTTTCAATAACAGAAACACGCCACTTGAGTTCTTGACAGATAGATCAACCGAGAAACCCTAAGTAATCGAAGATCTTCTCTTTATTCATCTGAAGCTGCAGGGTTAGAGATTCCTATAAATTGAGTTCCATCAGGCAAAATTCCAATAAATAACTGACTGTCAAACTGATAAAGTTAGGGTAAAACCTACCAGATGTATATATATCAAATACTCAAAAGCCGTTGGCTTCATCATCCCAAGCTTTAAGCTGATTAAGAATGTGAGCGTCGATCTCAGACATCACTTCTTTCGCCCGCTGATTGCTTGCCCTGATTTCAGCAAACATCGAAGAAAACTCGTCCAGTAGCTTTGCAATCTGGGTGACCAAAGTCCTGTGCTCCTTTTTCTTATCCTTTCTCTTGTTATGCTTTGGTTTTTCTTTGCCAAGCTAAACACGTTCCAAATAAACAGTAACAACAAAGAAGAAGAAAAGCATATACTAAAATATTGAAAAAATAAGAAGAATTTTTGAGGTTACGGAAACTACCTCAAACTTGGGTTTCCTTGACCTAAGATGTTTCTTTTGGGAAGCCCTGCCTAGGGTTTGGTTAGTTGCACACAGGAAATGGTTCATTTTCTTCCCCATTTCAGCAAGTTACATCAGTGCATTTTAAAATAATAATTAAAAGAGTAGTGCTATTTTCTTTGAAGATTCCAAAGTATCCTATAAAATGCTTACTGTTTGCTTCAATGACGTTTTTCAGATCATGAAAAAAAGAAAAATAAAGGAGAACCAGAAACCGGAAATTGATATGCAGCAATCCGATAAACTCAGAGATAAACTGAGGATTTCAGTAGTTTATAAACAAAACTAACCTTGAAATCTTTTTTCGATGATTAGAAATCTGCAACACCAAGCTGGCTCGGGAGTGAGGAGAAAGTGAACAACTTCTTAACCCTATGGTTATCCAAGCAACACACTTTATTATTTGTAATGTTTTTTTTTCGTTTGACCAATTCTAAACCCTACCATTACAAGTTCTCCCGATAAAGAAAAGAAAGAATATCCGTTTCATGTGTTTTTATGTTATTTTGGTATTCAAGGTATTAAATTATTTATGTTGTATCCTACTGTATTTATGCTGTTTTGTTATTTTATTGTGTTTAAATTATTTTTTTTGTTAATCTCATTTCATTTAGTCTTATGTAATTTATTATAATTGTTCAATTTTAATATAACTTTCAATAATACGAACTAAGTGACTTCAGTGGTTAAAGGAATTATTGTTATTCTTAGAGATTCAAATTCAAACACGAGCGATTGTGGAATATTTAAGCGTTCATTGTCAAATAGTTGAGAGTATTTATAACAAATGTTATCACTTGTAATCATCCTAGATTAGTAAAAAAATATAACTTTAATATGTTTATTAAATTATTATTATAAGACTAAAAACAATATATATATAGAGTTAATTTAAAATTAATTTTATCGAATTGAACAAATTAATAATATTATTTATAAACCGAACATGTTTTTCAATCCTCCCTGTATAGTAAAATTATGCCCTTTGTAAAAAAAATGTAGAGTCGTTTAGTTACATTTTGTTATTGCAAAAGTATTTTAAATTTCAGGTCTTATTACAAGAAAATGGATAAGCTTAATAGGTAAGGAATCGGTCGAGTGCGGTCGTCAAACATAACGAATCTTCAATGTTATCGCGCGATCAACTCGTCGACAAGTTCTCATTAGAAAATAATTGAGGACAAATATAAAATTGGCGTGAAAAATAATTTATAACTGCGAATTATTGTTATTTATTGAGGTTCGGGTTTAAGTATTAAAAATATTTGAGGTATGATTATTTAATATCAAATAGTTAAAAATTATATTTCAACAAAAATTGTCTTATACTTACTCATGTTAAGAAAAAAATCTTATTATTTATAAGGATAAATTACGTATTTTGTCATCTAACTATTTTTATGATTTTATTTTCCTAACCCAATTATTTTTTTTAAATCATGTCTAACGTTACGTTCTATTTCCATTTTGATCTCACATTGCTAAAATACTAACATAACTACAGACGTGATGATTTTTTAATTTTTTAATAATGACATGAAATTACTTTATGGGTACACATCAACATCATCATTAAATTTTCAACGACGAATAACCAAAACGTAACATTAGGAACATTTTTTAAAAAATAATTAGATGAACAAAATGAAATTATAAAATAATTGAGTCAAAAAATATTTTTACCTATTATAATCGGATTAATATAACTAATTCATAATTGGGTTAGTGGCGGAGACCCTTTTATTTGGGGTGTCATCTGACTTTTATTATTTATTATTTAAATTTCTATAAAAAAGTATTAAAAATAAAATTATGAATTTAAAAAATATTGATATTATTTAAAATAAATTAAAAGTTATAATTTATTTATCAATTTAAATAAATATTTTTAGTTTCTAATATCATAATTTAAACTTTTAACTAATATAACTAATTGATATCTATAATCGTTTGTATTCAAAATGTTACTTATGTTATTTTTTTTTCTTAACTGGCACTTCAATTCAGCTTTCATGATTTATTTTTGTATTTCTTTTATCACTTTAAAATTGAAAAAATATATTAATTTAATTAATAATTTAATAATTATATGTGATATATATTATGTCATCATCTAAATATATTCTTATATGTTTGAAATTTAAAAAAAAACTAATTTAAAACTAGGTGTTTGTGAATATATTCTTTTATCACTGAAGTTTGTGAATGGAGCAAACTAGGTTGTGAGGGTTGTTTTTCCTCTACAGTACTTTATTTTAATTAATCGGTCAATAGATCTTATACCAATGATTAATTCAAACGAAAGGCAATAAAATGTATACATATAATAAATGATAAAAATATTTAAAATTTTAGAATATTTTTTTATAGATTCTAAATTTGATCTTAATGTTATCGAGAGAGAAAGGAAAAAATGATTCTAGTGGAAGGAAGAAAAATGTTCCTAATGAATTTAAAATTTATGGTCCAAAGAAATATAAAAAACGAAAATGAACAACTTTATCAATTGACCACGGGCGATTGTTGAATTTTAAAACATTTAAAATATCTTACAAACGTAGGTGGTGATTTATGCAAAAGTGGTGTTATAACTATTGTCCTATGATTCTCATAACTCTTATATGTAACTAGATCCAACATTAAATCATATAAAAGGTTTAATTATAAAATAAGTGTTCAACTTATACCGGTTTTTATGAATTGGTGTCTAAATTATTTTTTAGATATGATGACTGTTAAATTTCATCATTAAAAAACACACGTCACTTTTATGAAATTTTAAAAAAATATTTAATTTTATTTAAATGAAGAAAAAAAACTTAAAAAATATTATTATATTTATATAAAACTATAATTTTCCTAAGATTACAAAAAAATCCCAAAATTCTTAAAATCTCTTAGTCTAATCCACTTTACTCTAACTGCCGGTCATCTCTAGCCATCCATCTGTCGGAGACCAACCACCCATACGTCGCCGACTACTCACTGACTGGTCATAACACTTGCTATTATATCAAAACCCAAATTCTCAAATCCCTACACTTCAATCTCTAACCCCTAAAATCTAAAATACCCAATCCCTTAATTTTCTTTGATCGATCGTGATAATCGGTCGTTTAGATGATTGTGGAAGCCAACCGTTTGACCATTTGTTTGGTCGTTTAATAGATCATTTGGCCATGGAAAAGTAGGGAGAGAGGGGGGGTGCAGGTTGGGAAAGGATTTTTTAATTTTTAATAATATTTTTATTTTTAAAATAAAAAATTTAAAATTTTAAAAATACAACACATGTCACTTAATAGGATTTTTAAACGGTCTTTACATCCTGGGCACCTAAAATGATTGTGTTTGTAACGTTAAACACTTTGATCATTAAAAAAATTATTTAGGCATCAATTCGTGAAAAACGATGTAATTTGGGCATTTATTTTATAAGAAATCCTAAAATGGTAATGTATTTAATCCTTTACAAAAGTGTTTTTATTGGGGATAAAATGACTAATTTTGTCAAAAATGTTATTTTTATTGTTTTGTTAAGAAAACACTTTAAATACAATTAGGAGAAAATAAATATAAAAAATTGTATATGTGAATGTTACGGAATTTG